TTATGAATCCTGCTTGGCACTCTCAGAGGCGGGTGGAGAGGGAACGGCTGTGTCACAGTACTTTAGGTGGCCTTAGCATAAAAGGAGGCCTTGGAGGCTGAACCTGGGCCATAGAAGAAAGCTTGGCCAGGCAAGCAAGTAGGTTTTCATAGGGTGCAGGTGTAGGTGGGTCACTATTGCAGAGGTCAGGAGCCTTGTGTCAGTGCCGACATGGTGGTACTGAGGTTCTTAGTACAACTGACAAGACAAGTCAAATAAAATTCTTGGGCCTGGGCCAGCAGGTGGTGTGGTGGTTAAGAGTGCTGGACTCCCACATGGTTGACCACAGTTCAAGCCCTGGACCTGGTGACTTGCTTTCTCACTTTCTCTCTCTCTCTCTGTCTCACTCTGTCTTACTCTGGTCAAATTAAAAAATAAATAAATAAACTAAGTTAAAAAATCATTCTAAAACAAAAGTTAGAGTTCGTGTGCGTGTGACGTGTGTGACCTGCGCAGTGGCTAGCACGCCTTCTGGAGTTTATGGCAGTGTCAAAGCAGGGCTGGGCTGATGTATCGTCGACTGCCTGCTTTTCAGTCCTGCCTTCGTACTCGCTTATGACACTTGAAGAATTTCTGTCATTTGTTTTATCATCTGTAAAATGGGCTGCTGATAATAATAATACCTTTATGAGATGTTTTGAAGGCAAAATCATTTAATATATATGTAAAACGTTTTTTAAAAATATTCATTAAATTTCACTTATTTTAGTTTGACCAGAGAGAGACATAGAGAGCTAGAGAGAAGGAAGTGAGAAAGCAAGCCACCAGGTCCAGGACTTGAACTGTGGTCAGCACCTTAACCACCATGCCACCTGCTGGTCCCTACATGAAGTGTTTTAACCAGGACTTGACACATGGTAAGTGCTCACTACATGTTAGTGATTACTATTATTACCAGGGCCCTTGTAGGCGATACTGGGAGTGCCTGGGAGGTGAGAGATAGTGATGTTTATGAATCCTGCTTGGCACTCTCAGAGGCGGGTGGAGAGGGAATAGCTGTGTCACAGTACTTTAGGTGGCCTTAGCATAAAAGGAGGCCTTGGAGGCTGAACCTGGGCCATAGAAGAAAGCTTGGCCAGGCAAGCAAGTAGGTTTTCATAGGGTGCAGGTGTAGGTGGGTCACTATTGCAGAGGTCAGGAGCCTTGTGTCAGTGCCGACATGGTGGTACTGAGGTTCTTAGTACAACTGACAAGACAAGTCAAATAAAATTCTTGGGCCTGGGCCAGCAGGTGGTGTGGTGGTTAAGAGTGCTGGACTCCCACATGGTTGACCACAGTTCAAGCCCTGGACCTGGTGACTTGCTTTCTCACTTTCTCTCTCTCTCTCTGTCTCACTCTGTCTTACTCTGGTCAAATTAAAAAATAAATAAATAAACTAAGTTAAAAAATCATTCTAAAACAAAACAAAACAAACTCTTGGGCTTAGAAAAACTGTAGGGACCAGCAGTTAGCGTAATGGCTATGTCCCTGGACTCCCACGTATTCAACTGCGATTCACGTCCCAGACCCGGTGGCTTAAAACTCACACCGGGCGCGTGTGCGTGCGTGCCCAAGATCCTGAGAGGAGAATGGAGGAGAAGGGATTGCGGCGTGGCCATCCCCCCTGGGGGGTGATTTCTCGCTTTCTGTCTCTCTGTCTCTCTCTGCCTGTCTGGCGAGTGCATGCACCCTATAGCACAAACCTCTCCAAAAGAAAAAAAAAATAATAATAAAGAAAGAAAAAAGAAAAAGAAAAAAAAAGAAAAGAAAAACTGTGTAACTCATGTCTCAGATATAGAGCAAGTATCCATTCTTCATGAAAAATTCTATAAGCCAGTTAAATAAGTCCAAAGCCCTGTAAAAGTCAGCAAAGGATATAAACAGGCAGTGTGCAGAAAAAGAAATAGAAATGGCTCTTAAGCACACAGAAAGCTTCTCAGCCCTACTCATAAGAGGAAAAATGCAAATTATAGCTACAATGAGATTCAGTTTTCACCTATCAGATTGGCAAATGCACGGGAGTTGGTAACACTGAGAAATGGCTCTCTGCCCATTGGTGCAACTTCTATAGAGAGATTTTTAATATGCACCCACATTAAAGATGCATATGCCTTTTGACTTCACACTTCCACTTGTAGCAATATACCACGTATACCCTCAACTGGGTGAAATGATCCCTGAACACACTATGCATTGGGAGGTGTCTACAATAACAGAGTTCCCAGAATTTCCTGAGAGTCCATCAACAGGACTCGTTAAATAAATAAGGATATATTAATAATGAAATACTAGAAAACAAGCTTGACCAGGCAACCAGGCAAGCAGGTAGGTTTCACTAGGGTGCAGGTGCAGGTGGGTCGCTAGTAAACAAGAAGGAAGAAGCACTTTTACTGTTCAGTGAAAAACGGTGACGTGAGGAAGACCACGTGTAGGGGCCGGTATTTGTGTTTAAGAAGGGGAAAAGGGCCTGATATATGCTTACTATCTTATATATATATATATACATATGCTTAAGTAGATAATACATTATTTTTCTATGGGGAGGAGAATTGGGGCTTGGGGGATAAGTGAGAGAAAAATCTTTCTACTCTATACTATTTAATAACATTTGAATTTGGGGCCATACTAATTCATCACCTGTTAACACTTTTATTAAAAAATGTAAATACTGCCTCCTGTTTTCTAATGTCATCACCGAATGTAATATGAAAAGTGTTGAAATACTGAGCTGTTTCCACTATTTAATCCCAGACCACGCTGTTGCTGTTTTTTCATTTTCTTAAATTTATTTGATAGATTTCTTTCATGGATGGGGGGGGGCTGGTATCCTCAATAGGGTTTCCTCTCCCCAGCCTTCCAGCCGACCCAGACCATGGGCACCCCCAATGTGTTCAGGTTGGCCCAGGATCGGAACCTGGGCTTCCCGTAAGGCTCTGATATTGTACAGTATCGCCTCCCACGGCCTGCATCGTTGTGGCTGGGCCTGCTCTCTGCTCTTTAGACATCGGCCAGTATTTACTAAACTGGGTTCCCGGGAAGACACCGCGGGCTCGTCCCGTAGCTCCTGATCCCCTTCGTGTGCACAGTGAAGTACTACCGCCCTCGCACCCACCCTGCTGTGAAGTGGCTTCAGTGACACGAGCGAGGTTTACGAGATACAGAGCTCGGTCTGAATCCTTCCCGTAGTGCTTGTCGGGTGCCCACCTGACTGCGTGGCTAACTTCTCGACACCTCAGTTACAATGCCGGTTTCCTTCTCTTATCATGACAGTGACCTTGGCTACCTGACGTGCCACTGGGTTTCAAGTCCGTGAGGCCAAACTCTATAAAGAGGTTATGTGCTGTGCATAGAAAGCTGGATTCCTCATGACCAGCTGCAGTTCGAGTCCCGGATCTGGAGGCTTCAAAAGATACTCGGGAAATGTGCATGTGTGCCCCCAATTCTGGTGGGATGGAGAAGTGGAGGAACACATGCACACAGGCACCCTTTGGCAATTAAACACACAGCTGAAAATCAGGTGTCCTAAGCTCACCACGTCAGTGTCCCAGCTGGCCTCTGTCGGGACCACGACAGATCTGGCCCCAAATGCCCCCGCCCTCGGCTTACTAACTCTCTCCTAGATGACTCCAGCCCTCCATGTTCTGCTCCCGACTCTACCTGGAGCTGGTCTCTGTTCTTTCCCGGTCAGACAGTTCTCCCTCTAAGGTACACCCAGCTGAAGCCTAGAAACGTGTCTCTTATCCTCTCTGTGCCCAGCACCTCGGGGGCTTCCTGCGGTTATTTTCTCATGCTTGAGAAAAAGGGAGTTCTTTTAACACTAGCGTTTGGGTGCCAATCAGTGATAATCTCATTTGTCTAGGGGGGATTTGTGCCAAGTGCAGGGGGGTAGGCGAATGTCTTCTGTCTCCCTTTCCTCTTACTCTAGCACCCACTTGCCTGTGGCAAATTTCAAGCCCCTCTGCTCACTGTTCGTCAGAGTCTGGCTTGGCCTGATTTACGATCAAATGTACATGAAAGGTGTCTGTCTTGCAAACTGTTTACTTCAGCAACTGTTCAGACCCGTTACCAACTGACATCCAGGCTCTGAGGTGGTTGCTTCGTAGTCAGTCTAAGAAATCATAGACCAAATACCATAAAAAGCTTACGGAAAATGTGTATTATGAAAAAGCATGAATGGATTTCAAAATTGTTTTGCATCAAAATAACATTTTGCTTCCAGTTTTCATGAAATTTCCAAAGTCCCCTTGTGTGTGTTCGGGTAATTTGTGAGAAAGATTTATATATGGTTAATAATTTAGTTGCTATGGCAAGATAGAATGTGTTTTTTTTAAAAGTGTCTCTTTAAAGTCAAAGATTATTCACTTTCAAGGAGAAGGGATAGCCGGGGGTGGGGGACCCAGACTGTGGTAGGTTAGATTTCCCCCAGATATTAGTGCTGCTCTGTCTCTACAGCCCAACACAACAGCTGGTGAGTAGGGAGAAACTGGAGAAAGATCTTTTTTGCCTTTAATCCAGTGTGCTGTTTTCCTGTGCCGTTTTCCTGTAGTTCTCGGCGGCCACAGGACAAAAGCTGTTGACTGATACATGCAATTACCTCCTCTAATATTGCTCTCAACTGTCGGCCCTGACTGGCAAAGGTGGATGAGGTTTAGTTAAGGTCTGGGAAAACGCTCCTTTAATAAAAGCCACCCCATCTCCATGGCCGCTCCCTCCCTCGGACCTTTTCATCTGTCTCCTGGAAAGGTAAGGTCTGGTGGTGGGAAGTTGAAGAGTGCTGCTGAACTTGGGCCCCGCCGGCACCATCCACCTCGCAGAAGTGTTCCACAATGCCTGTGTGTGCAATTTGCATTTGAAACGAGGAGAATCAGTTTGGGTCATTGGGCAGGGTTTTCCCAGAAAGAATAAGAGGCTATTTTAGAAAGTTAAACCAGATCCTTCTTGGTTTCAGTTCTCGAATAATGTTTTTTTTTTTTTTCCCCCAGGAGAAACTGCCTTGAGGAGGGTTTCCCTTCAGGTCTATCCACGGCTTGTTGGACCCTGACGCTCTGCTTCCTCATGAGGATGTGCACAGCAAACCGAGTCTAACAGACTGTGAGATGGAAACCTTCTCCTTCCCACCGAAGAGCACTGTGAGTTGCAGACTGCAGAATCCTGGAAGACGAGTGTTCAAATCCTGGCGCGGATTCCCTGGGCACCCCCGCTGGAGGGAGGCGTATCTAGGAGGATTTTGCCACGGCCACTGCCCTATCATTCTGTAGGAGAATCCAGAGTTCACAGAGTGAGGACAAGCTCACAGTGAGGACGATGGCCTATTCACTAGTGTGGTTTGGAAGACTGAAGTGGAAACTGTGAGAATACGTCCTCATAAAAACTCAAAACTGTGTGGACTGGACTGTGTCCTCCGTCTTTGGAAAGGCGGGGTCATTCTGAATGCAAACTGCTTGCTGTGGCTCATACCGAAACCGATTCTTTAGGAAGTGTGGACCAGCTCGTGGCAGAATGTCCTCCCTGAGCGCTTTATTTGGGTGCGTGTGAGGGGTTGGCGATGAGGAGACGGGCCTCGTCCCGGGCCCAGAAGGGGGCTGACTCAGGTCAGAAGGGAGCCTGCTCCTTGTCAATAGTGAGGTAGCCTTTTCCTACGGGTTTTCCCTTGTGTCGACACTCAGTTTTCATAATACAGTTGGTAGCGTGATGAGGCCTACATGTTCAATAGTGGCAATAGCATGCCGAGGTTGTTCCCAGGCAGTTTTAATAAAGAACAAAGGGCCACGCTGCTGATGTTAGAACCAGGGCCTAACAGCAAATGCCTCTCGTTCAAAAGTCCAAAGACCCGTCTATTAAAAAACACTCATTCTGGGACCAGCAGTTAGCGTGATGGCTATGTTGCTGGACTCCCATGTAGTCGACCGCGATTCGAGTCCCGGACCCGGTGGCTTAAACTCACACCGGGTGCATGTGCGTGTGTGCCCAAGATCCCGAGAGGAGAATGGAGGAGAAGGGATTGCCGTGTGGGCATCCCCCCGGGGGGTGATTTCTCACTTTCTGTCTCTATGTCTCTCTATCTTTCTGGAGAGCGCACGTGCCTTATAGCAAAAACCTTTAAAAAAAAAAAAGGAAAGGAAAAAACACTAATTCCCTCTCCACCCCATGCCCATTCTTACAGAAACTGCAAGTTAACACCTTTCTGCCTTCCGTAGGGGCCTCAGACAGTTAGCTGAGTCAGGGAGAGGAACTCCGACTCCGCAGACATTGACCGTGGTCTGCTCCGCCACAAAATGCTCTGAAACCTGGACGTGTGCAGCGCGGCGGAAGAAAAGACTCATGGCAAAGGATCCCCCTCTGTAGGAAGGCAGTTAGCGTGATGGCTATGTCGCTGGACTCCCATGTAGTCGACCGCGATTCGAGTCCCGGACCCGGTGGCTTAAACTCACACCGGGTGCATGTGCGTGTGTGCCCAAGATCCCGAGAGGAGAATGGAGGAGAAGGGATTGCCGTGTGGGCATCCCCCCGGGGGGTGATTTCTCACTTTCTGTCTCTATGTCTCTCTATCTTTCTGGAGAGCACACGTGCCTTATAGCAAAAACCTTTAAAAAAAAAAAGGAAAGGAAAAAACACTAATTCCCTCTCCACCCCATGCCCATTCTTACAGAAACTGCAAGTTAACACCTTTCTGCCTTCCGTAGGGGCCTCAGACAGTTAGCTGAGTCAGGGAGAGGAACTCCGACTCCGCAGACATTGACCGTGGTCTGCTCCGCCACAAAATGCTCTGAAACCTGGACGTGTGCAGCGCGGCGGAAGAAAAGACTCATGGCAAAGGATCCCCCTCTGTAGGAAGACACCACGCTTCGGCCTAAGGTGGTGAAATGCCCTAATGGAGGTGAGAGCCGCAGGTCCATGGAGGAGGTATCCGAGCCCGGGTTAGCCAGGATGTTTTCAGAAAGAAGCAGATATCCCAGCAGGTGAAATGAAGTATCTGCATTTTCAACTCAGAAAATGGAATAAGCAATCACTGAATAATCCAGGCAGGGAGAAGTGTACGTGTGCGCGCGTGTGCCTGCTCAGCCCTACTCAGGGTTTTGAAAGAGAGAATAAAGAATGAAAGCTTAGCTCTCATGCACTCTCCGAGGAACATTTGAGATCTAGCTGGCCCCGCAGAAAGGGAGGCCGAGAAAAGTGGTAACTGGTGACTCGCTGAGAAACAGTGGCAGCGGCCGCTGAGACTGGGGCCTTCCCGTCCACACTGCCTGCCCTACCGCTCTGATGTGAGGCTCACTGGCCTGCGGTTTGGTGCTCCCTGCAAGGCAGGCTGGGCTTTTAGGTGAAGCTCCTCCTCACCTGACACATTTTCGCAGTGCACCCCGGTCACGCGGGCAGACATGGAGTTGCACAGCAAAGCGCGGCAGGGCACTCTGGGAGGGCGGCGAGCTGCTCGCCCTCCTCCAAGTGCTCATGGCCAGGGACTGCGCTGCTCAGGGTCCATCCCGGCCCGGCTCTGAGGGCTCTAGACATAGCCACGTATTAAATACGCACACGCATTATGAGGCGAGTCTGGATGAAGAAACAGGCAGAAAGAAGTCTCAGAGTCACTGGCGTGGAGACAGGCCTTGAACTGGGGCTGCCTGGCTCCCAAGGTCACGCTCTTTAGTATCGAGAACCCTCCCGCTGCTGGAGTGAGCTTCACGCTGGCATTTTGCTTGGGGAAAGGATCTGGCTTCTGGATAGAAGAGGCAGGGCAGACCCATGGGAGGCATAGTAGGAGGGGAGACTGTATTTAAAATTCATTTATTCATTGAGTGAGAGAAGCGCTCTAAGTCTTTAGGTTCCGACCCATTTCCAGTATTAGCCAGCCAAGGTTTGGGTGGTGTTCTCAGATGAACGTCTGGGAAGGCTCTGGACTCACACCAGAACCTCCTCATCTTACTTGTGTGCCAACGTCTGGCCTCCTTTTTATTTTTTAATTTACAGAATCCTGCCCCTACCTCCTACCCTGCCACACAATTACAGACACACTTACGTCTACAGATCACAAACACACACACACACACACACACACACACACACTTGTTTTCCCCAGTCATGGGGAACTCCCCAACTCTGCCTCCATGTCAAAATTACTCAGAGTTTTACATAAAACTGAGATATCAAGACCCTCTTCTCAGATGTACTAAATGATCATTTCTAGGAGCAGGCCTTTGAGCATCTGAATTCTTTTTCACTGAAAAAAAAATTATACATGACATCCATGTCCCAAGAAAAAATTAAACTGTACACAGGACCAGCAGTTAGCATAATGGCTATGTCATTGGACTCCCAGGTAATCGACCGCGGTTCGCGTCCCGGACCCAATGGCTTAAAATTCACACCTGGCACGTGTGTGTGCATGCACAACGAGAGGAGAATGGAGGAGAAGGGATTGCAGCATGACCATTCCCCCTGGGGGGTGATTTCTCGCTTTCTGTCTCTCTGTCTCTCTGTGTCTCTGTCTGGCGAATGCATGCGCCCTATAGCAAAAACCTGGCCATCCTCCAGGGAGTGATTTCTCGCTTTCTGTCTCTCTCTGTCTGTCTGGTGAACGCATGCGCCCTATAGCAAAAACCTCTCCAAAAAAAAAGGAAAAGAAATGAGACCGTACAGAAGGGCATGTCGTCACACTCTTCCCACCTAACCCTCAGGCCTTCCCAGATGCAAACACTTTTAATAGTTGCTTGTGACCTTCCCAGAAAACAGTGATGTGTATATATCCTTCTATATTTTTGGTAGGTTTTCTTTTTGTATTTTTGCCATCTGTAGGTGAGTATGATGAACACTTGAGTGGGAGTCTCCCCCTGGGCCCCGCTCTGGGCACCGCTGAGCTGCGTCTTCTGTGAGAGACGAGGCAGGACGAGGGAAGCAGCAGGGAGGTTCTGAGTAGACGAAACTTGCTAGAACTGAAGGACGGAGCCCAGAGGGAGTCTCCTTGCAGCAATGTGCTGAAGAGTCAGAAGGCGACAGCTCCCCCCCCACTGAGTGTGTAAGGCAGAGTGGCAGGAAACCCTCAGCGCTGAGTGGTGATCGGTAAAGACGTGCTTCCAGAGGAGACTGGGAAAGTCTTCAAGGAGAGGAGAGGGCCTTCTATTGGAGCGGGTGGCATGGGATGTGCATGCTCGCCTGTCCATTTATCCCAGGCCGTGCATCCATTCGCGGCCAGAGGCGGTCGATTTTGTGGCAGGAGTACACACGCTGGGGCCAGTCTGCGCTGGAGCACGGGGTCGACTACGCAGTGGATGTGCTGATCCACGCGGGAGACACTGGGAAGACAGACAGCAGAAGTCCACGTGAGTAACGAGTACTCTCCTGGGAGGGAAGTTCCAGGTGGGCAGACAAAGCAGGACTAGAACCTCCCGGAGTCTCTTTTAGGGACTGAAACAGAACTGTATAGCTTGAGCTGTAAAATAAGTCATAAGTTGTGGTCTCCAGCTCTGTAAGGGGGCCAAAGTGATCTGGCACAAGTGAAATTTGGAAAGAGCGAAGGTTTTGTTGACTTTGGCAAACACTAGGTGATATTTCTGTGGTCTGTTTGCTTTCTAGAGTCTCCATGAATTGCGTGGGAAAACGAGCGGCATGCCTGCATACTTCCGAGGGTCGTTTTTCTCCAAGTCTGAGTTAAGATTGAAGTAGAAATCAAAGATTTACATGCGTTTTATTGCGTTTTTTTTTTTAATCCTCCCAATAAGTCACTTACATTTTCTGAAGAAAACATGGATTTGGAAAGAATCATTATGTACTCCAATCAATTTGTTTTTTGAAAAATGAACTAGAAAGACAATTTGATGTTGTACCCCAGACTAGCTGAAGTTGGTTACAGAGTTTTTGGTGAATGATCACTTCTGCAATAGGACGACTTACGAATCTCTTTCAAACATTTGTTAAAGCTACACGGACTTTTGACAGACGCCGTTTTCTTGTTCTTTCTTGTTTAATTCCTCCAGTGGGCCAGGTGTGGCTGTCAGCGCTGTGTCTTCCCAGGAGCACTGCGGGGTGGGGGGATTGTGCTCTCAGCTCCATTTTACAGAGGAGGGACGTGAATACAGAGAAAAGCTCAATGTCTAATCTGGGATTTGGGGGTCTGATAAGTGGTCAAGTTACCACGAGTGACCTCCACGCCAAGGCCAAGCAGCAATTTACAGTGAGCTAAGCGAAGTCTCAAGGTCAGTCCTGTCGTTGGTTGCGGATCTTGAAGGCCTGGGCTTCTGCATTCACGGCCCGGGCGTTTTCCATGACATGCAGGATGCCCCTCAGAAGCGGCGTCTGCTCTGGCCTCTCCCCTTCCCCAGGCATTCGGCATTCAGCCACGGTCTCTCCAGGCCTCAGCCTCTCTCATCGCCCCCTGGAATCCATGCCGGTGACGGTGGCTCCCCAAGAACAAGATGACAGTCTCAGACGCTGTCCGTCCTGGTGGCTGACAGCTGTTGCGGCGTGCACCTCACAGTTACGAGAAGGGGCCCCTGCAGTCCTCCGCGTGAGTGAGGTCGCGTGTTTCTCTGTCTCTGTTGTTGCTCACCGTTCCCACTTGGCGTGCTCGTTCCATGCCAGACCCACGGCGCCCAGTGCTGACTGTCCTTTCAGAGCCATCGCGGGTGCCGACCCTTCATGAAGCTTGCGGGGTCTCAGAGGTGGTAGGACTTGTCTCCTGCTGAGGGGTAAGTGGCAGGGTGGGAAGAAAAGGAGGAGAAAAAGTGGGCGAGAGTCAAGACTGTAAAACGAAACTTGGAGGTGGGAACAGGGATAGATGTCCCCACGGGCAATCGATAGCCACAAGAGTCACAGCTTACTGAGCACGGCCTGTGCCTTGGGACGGTGCGGTGTCATCACCTCCTTCAGTCCCCACCGCGAGTCGCCGGGTTGCGGCAGCTGAGATTCAAGCCCAGCTCTACTTGACGTCAAAGCATGTGCCTGCCCCGCTGTTGCGTGGCCTCCTAAGACGGTCACGGAGCAGGAAAGGAACTGGACCGTCATCGGGTGGACGAGTAGGACGTGGAGAGGCCTCGCCCAGTCCTGAGGGCCCACCAGTGGAGAGCACCACGCGAGGCAGAGGCAGGGCTCGGGCTCAGGAAGGGAAGCCTAGAAAGGCGCAGGTGGGGCGTTTAGGGATGACCCGGGCAGGGAAGGGGAAGGCACGGTCTGGAGAGGCAGCTCAAGGCTGAGCGCGGAGAAGGCCGGCTGTCCGCTGCCCAGAAGACTGACCAGCCTCCAACCCAGCCACTGGGGCTGCTCCAGCTCCCTGACTTCGGAGCTGTCCCTGTGCCTGGGCTCCCACCGTGGGCCCGGATACTTCCCTTTACTCGCCTAGGGAATTCTCCTCATCTTTCAAGGCATTTCAGACTTGTGTCCTGGGAGGCCAGGCAGCACGCTCAGATAGGACACCCCGTCTCCGTAGAAGTCTTCCCCACCTCTCTGTTTCAGCACGGGCCACGCTGTTCTGTCTCTGCTACTTTTGTGAGGACTTCCTGGAGGAGGATTTTCTCTTTTCTCTGTGTCTGTAATGGTAGCACATAGTAGGCCCTCACGCACTTGGATGATGGACGGGCGGTGCCGTAGCATTCGTGTGTTGTTCAGGCAGGCAGCGAGCAGCTGGTGGGAAGAGTGAGAGGGTAATTTTATTTGATTTCTGACGGCCGACCAAGGCTGCTGTTTTGATGGCAGGCTGGCATCCTGCCGGCCAGGCCTCCCCGCCAGCTTCGGGCACCTGCCTAGCTAGGCGATGTAATTTCTTGCATTTTCTCTCTTTGTTACTTTTTTTTCCCCTGCAAGGAGTGCAGCGACCCCTCAGGAGTTTGATTATACTGCGAGATGAATAGGGGATTGACTCCCGCTATCTGCACGCGCCGTCTCCACCCTAGTGCGATCGTCCGCCCATCACACTAATGCGATCTACCTTTCCAGGACGCGCTGGGCCCCAGTGAGGACCTGCTGGAATTGCTGCTCCCAGCTCTCAGGGGCTTATCCTGTGCACCGTGGGGTGCGCCTTGTGTTTCACCTCGGGCAGCGGTGGACATTTACACGGTCACTCTCCAGAGCGACCAGAAAGGCTTTATCTGTGTGCAGAGAGGATTCGAATGGCTTTTCCCTGGAGGCAGTGCAGGGAGGAGCAGCAGACTGCGGGGTGCGGAAGTCTGGTCTTTGCCCAGCAGTTTCAGGACGTATAGGAGAGCTGGGCGCAAACCGATTGGGATCTGGGTCCCGTGCCCTGAAGTCTTTCTGTTCCACGTCTCCGTTCCGAGAGCTTCGGCTCCTTTGCTAACCAGGCCTGCACCTGTGCTCTTGAGATGACCGACCCGGGGGGCCCTTACGCCTTGCCGCTCCTGTAGTTCGGGGCTGAGTCACACCTAGGGCAGGATCTCATGCTGGCCGCGTGGCGTGGGGCCGGCTTCCCTCTGCTGCCCATCTCTTCTGATGGGGTAAATGCGAGGGGTTGTCAGACTGTCAGACCTAACTTGAAAGCCACCTGCCAAAGTCTGTGGAGTTCTCAGCTAGAAACTGGTGGTCACGTTGTCTCAGAAACTTTGATTATTCAAACTGCGATTTTGAGTCGTAGCTCACTGAGCAAGGTCCATGCTGAAATACAAAGAAGTTAAACTTTCAAAGTTAGGCGCGAACAGCATTCCGAAGTGATAAAGTCGGGCATTGCATTCGTTCAGCAGAGGTGGGTTGTGTGCCCGAGAGTCAGGCGCGACATCCAGGAGAAACCAGCCGTGGAGGCCCCTGCCCCCCAAAGGTTCACAGTCTAGTGCGGCGGACAGGCATGCAGACGGCTAAGCGCGTAAGGGAGTCACGTGAGAAAGGCTGCACATCCGGGCAGCGGAGCCTTGCGCAGAAGATGGGGTGGCTGTCTAGAGAAGCTGCTTTCCTTGGAACTCGAAAGGGGAGTGTGATGTTTGGCAGGGTGGACAGTTTGGGGAAGGGCCAAGGCTAGGCTGGTCAGCCTGAGCCAGTGCATGGTGACAGCGATGAGGCATCAGAGCGGGGCCCGGTACACTGAAGTGTGAGTTTCACCCTGCAACGTATCAGTGTGCATTCAGTGGCCAGAAACAGAAGCCTGCAGCTCGCCTGGCTTAAACATTAGGGAAGATGGATTAGCGCAGAAAGTATGCTGAAGGGAGGGCAGTCTCACCGAGACTGGATTCAGTGGCTCAACTCTGTCATGAAGGATCTGGGCCATTTCATTTTATTTGGCTCTGCCATGTTCAGTATGATGTTTTCTTCTCAGACTTGATCTTCTGATCACAAGGTGACAGGAGAAGAAGAGAGGCTTGTCTGTTTATTTCTGTCTTGACTTGAATCTTTTTAATCAGTGAGGAGAATCTTCCTTCAGAATCTGTCATTAGACTCATCCTCATGCCTCAGTGGCCAAAACTGCACCTCCTGCTCAGTCCTAAGCTAGTCACTGGCAAGGGGAGTGTAACCACCATGATGGGCTCAGACCAATCTTGATTCACCCCCTGGAGAGGCGGGCCCACTCCTGGAGTCCACGACCAGGTAGAGGACACGGAAACAGAATTGGGCTTGGCAGTAGGGGGAGGGGCGGCGGGTGCC